TCAATTCGTCAGACACTACTGGCCACATATAAGTTAAAAAATAATTTAATAAAACATGATTAAAATTTCGTTGAGACAGAAAGCACTGAATATAGTCTAAGGAATTCCCAAAATATTAGAACACACTTTTTCCGAACAGAAAGATGCGCAAGATCTCTTAGAAGCTACGGAATACGACTATTCAATAAATTACCTGTAGAAATAAGAAGTATAAGCAATATCCTACTATTTAAAAGAAATGTAATAAACCTACTTTTAAACAAGTAAGAAAGTCTAAGTTCGGGCGGAGCCGAACATTAAATACCCGGCGCAAGTATTAAATATATGTTTTCCACCTTTCCGAAAGCTACCGCTACATGATAAGCCGGGGTGTATACATTTTAAGTAAATTAGCGTCCTTAAATTTCGAAATATTNAAAATATAAAGAAAAGACTGTGCCTGATTTAAAGGAAATCGCTGAGTCATTTAACGACTATTTTACCACCGTAGTAGCAATACCTCAGAATACTCAGTACATTGACGAGCAAAGTACTGAAATGCGCATCCCATTCAATCTCAGTTATAGCGATCCCTTCGAAATTGTAAATGCCATAAAAAGTTTAAAATCCAAATCAGCAAACGGAATAGACGGAATATCTGTTCGCTTTGTCAAAACATACAAAGAAACACTATCTGTCCCATTAGCTGAACTCGTTAACGACTGATTCCGTTCTGGGAACTATCCTGAAGAGCTTAAAGTAGGTCTAGGCAAAGAGCTCTGCTCAAATTATAGGCCAATAACAATAGCATTGTTCTAACAAGGCTAAAAAATTTTCTGAGAGACAACAGCGTAATTGATAAAAATCAATTCGGATTCACGGAAAAATCAAATACTATATCAGCATGTATTAACTGTACAGAATGTATATACGAAAATCTGGATAAAAAGAAATATGTTGCCATCCGTTAATTTGGATATAATGTTACGGAAGCTTCATGAACTGAGATTTGATAAAACTGCCATAAACTTTTTCCGAAGCTTTTTGTTAGACAGGAAACAAAATGTACAAATAGGACACATCAAGATTTCAGTTAAAACTCTTACAGTAGGGGTGCAACAAGGTTCTAAACTAGCTGCGACGTTATTTGTAATTTACATAAATAACGTTTTGAAACTTAGAGTGCACGGAGTTCCACAGTTCTATGCAGACGATGGCACGTTCTTATATGCAACCGATACACTATAAGAATTAATTAGTAACATTAAAACAGATTTGCAAGAAATTTCCAAGTGGTTTACTAGAAATCTTCCACAAATTAATTTATCAAAAACCAATTTTATCATTTTCAATAATTTTAGAAAGATTCCTGATAGAAGTGAACTTCCCGGAATACTATTCAATGGTACTTACATTTCCAGAGTAGAGAAATTAAAATGTCTCGGTATATGGTTCGACGAGAATTTGAATTGGAACGAACCGATCCAGAAAATAAAAATGAAAGTACTACCCTTTAACTTTTTCATCTATCGAAACCGAAATAACATTCCAAAAAAGCAATTGTGGCTTCTATACAACTCTTTCTTTTTATCTCAAATCAATTATTTAAATCCTATTTGGAACAGGTGCTCAGATCAAAAATTAAGTGAATTGCAAAGGCTTCAAAACAAAGTAATAAAAAACATCCTCTCACTGCCACGCAGAACCAACACACACAATCTATATGTAAATAGGCTTGATATACGAAAGTACTCAATTCGTCAGACACTACTGGCCACATATAAGTTAAAAAATAATTTAATAAAACATGATTAAAATTTCGTTGAGACAGAAAGCACTGAATATAGTCTAAGGAATTCCCAAAATATTAGAACACACTTTTTCCGAACAGAAAGATGCGCAAGATCTCTTAGAAGCTACGGAATACGACTATTCAATAAATTACCTGTAGAAATAAGAAGTATAAGCAATATCCTACTATTTAAAAGAAATGTAATAAACCTACTTTTAAACAAGTAAGAAAGTCTAAGTTCGGGCGGAGCCGAACATTAAATACCCGGCGCAAGTATTAAATATATGTTTTCCACCTTTCCGAAAGCTACCGCTACATGATAAGCCGGGGTGTATACATTTTAAGTAAATTAGCGTCCTTAAATTTCGAAATATT